TTGGAGAAGTTCCTTTAGCAATTTTTCCAAAGCTGGTTTGGTGGTGCTGAATTCTCTAAAGTTTTTGATGTATACATATAGCTGATTCACGTTGTTATACAGCAGAAACTAATACAACATTGTAAAGCAATTATACTCCAATAAAGATGTGAAAAAAAAATCTGAGAGATTGGCTGGGTGAAGTATTCTTGGTTGTAAGTTCTTCCCTTTTATCATTTTAAATATATTGTGTTGCTCCCTTCTGGCTTGCAGAGTTTATGCTGAGAAATCAGGTGATGACCTTACGGGAGTTCTCTTGTATGTTATTTTTTGCTTTTCCCCTTGGTGGCTCCTTTTAATTTGGACAACTTAGGATTTAAGGTCTGGGAAATGTTCTTGGATTGAGTTCCTCCCCTCCATTTTCTTTGTTCTTTTGGTTCTACTTTCTGGGAAATTTCCTCAACTTTATCTGCCAGGCCTTCTATTGAGTTTTAAATTTCTTCATATATTTAGTTTTCAAGAGCCCTCATTTTGTCTTCTGAAAGTTCTGGTTTTGTTTCATAGTTATAGTATCTTTCCAAGGACATTAATGGTAGTTGGAAGTTTTTTTCTTGATTAGTATGTTTCCTCTAAGTTGCTCTTTCTGTTTCGATCTCTGTCTTCCAAATTAGACTCTTCTCCAGATGTTTTGGGAGGTTGGTTATCTACTTATGATTAGGAATAGAGCAGTGGTTCTTGAGGGACATTTGACACCGTTTAGAGACATTTTTGCTTGGCAAAACTGGCTGAGGGGGTGCTACTGTCATCTCCAGGTAGAGGCTGGAGACGCTGTTAGGCGCCCTACAATGCACAGGACTTCCTTGCACAACAAAGAACTATTCAGCCCAAAATGCCAACAATGCCGAGGTTGGAAAGCTGATTGAAAACTCTGAACTTGTGGAAGAACTTGTTGACTTTGAATTTCAAGGAAGGTGATCTGGTTGAGTGGTTTGAACAATAAAACGTCATTATTTTTAGTCTTTCCTTCTGGGCTGGTCACATATTCAATAGAAAATCTTACCTTTCCTGCCTGAAGGGTAAAGATCTAGCTTCTAACATTCCCCCCTGTTAATGGGAAATGGGGATGGGCTGTCTACATTCAGTTTGTGTGTGATCACATAAACCCCTTGCTTTTCATGTAGTATCCACTTCTTCAACTGCCTTCTGTCCCCAGTTCTAAGACCCTGTGTTTTACTCTCTCCAGATAATGGACCTCTGTGAGGATGAGGCAGAGTAGTTACCTGGTGGCATGGAGTAGAGGAGGAGGATCTAAGACTCTTAACTGCTTCTCTAATAGATTTCACTCAAACCTTGTTAGTTTAGCCCCACCCTCTCTTTCTCAGAGTTATCTGGTGCTGCCAGTTCAGTTGCTTCCTGAGAATTTTGTAGTGTAAATGAGTTTGGTTCTGAACTTTTCTTATTTTCTCCTTGCAATTTGGCGTTTCTATGAATGCTAAGCCAGTTACCATTACTCCATCTGCTTTCTTGCTTTCAAAATTTGATTATTAATTACTATTGTATTCTCTCATTCTCCCAGTCCTTTAAGACATTTTCTTTAGCCCCTTTTCTCTCATTTTAATGGGTTCAGGGAGAAAAGTTAATTTAGATGCATTTGCTAAATCTATCCTATTATCCTGGAGACCAACATATTATACTGTATTCTAGCATAATTTTGTTTAATTCTAGTCACTTTTGACATGCAGTTGTCCCTCGGTATTTGCAGGGGATTGGTTATAGGATCCCCGCCAATACCAAAATCCATGGATGCTCAAGTTCCTTATATAAAATAGCATATTATTTGCATATAACCCACACATATGCCCCATATACTTCAAATCATCTCTAGATTACTTACAATACCTAATACATTGTAAATGCTTTGCAAATAGTTACCAGTGCAAATTCAAGTTTTGCTTTTTGGAACTTTCTAGAATTTTTTTTCATATATTTTCAATCCATGGTTGGCTGAATCAACAGATGTGGAACCTGCAGATACAGAGGGCCAACTGTATTTACTTTTGGTATCATAATGGTTCAATTCCTAGACATGACCTTTCTTCACATTAATGAAAGCTAGAGGAGATTATTGTGTGTCTGCATAGAGACACAGCTACATTCTTTTCAAAACCTTAGGGAAGTAATAGCAAATATTCAATTGTAACATATTCTAGTTTAATTGACCTTTTACTTTAAAACTTAGTATTCTGAAAGCAGCCAACTGCCTTGAGTAGAACCTTGTGCCACAATCCCAATCAATATTCAGTATTCTTAAAGAATTGGATAAAGAATATAGATTTTATCAAATCTGAAATGCCATCAATTATCTTATCATTCCAGTTTGATTAATACCCTGGCCAGAATTAGTGGAAATATGAGAAAGATAGTAGTTTATAATGATGGCTTACAACTACCTCTGTCAGTATTCCCCCCACCCCCCATAATTATTCAAGAATCGACTGTACTATAGACTAAAAATTTAAGGATGAAATTTTGAGATTCAAAAAGAGTTTAGGCCAGACTGAAACCTAGGCCTCCTGAATTTTTGCTGTTCCTTAAACTGTCATTCAAGTATAACTAATAAGTGTAATACAGAAGTTTTAACATACATTTTATTACACTCTCCTCCCCATTTTAAGATGGGAAAACAAGCCAGATTTTCTTATATCCTGTGTCTTTTTAGCGTTTTGATGAAATAAATATAATCAAGTCCTGCTAAAATTATAGACACTATATACTCATTCAAATTTTTTTCAGTTTCCACTGAGTTTCCAGTTGATGGATTAAATCCCAAAAAAAGTTAAAAGATTTTTCAGTGTCTTTTTAGTGTACTAAATGGTTCACCTTTTCTAACCCCCTGGATGTCACTGAGAGACAGATCTTTGAAACTCTTTACTCGTGACCTATCTTCATGTCATCAATAGTTCAGAGATAAACTCATTTTCTTTGCCTCACATTATAAAAGTAGCCTAAAGAACCAAGGATTTGGTTCCTTTTTTTCATTCACAGACTTAAACACGTTTTTGGTGTTTTTTTTGGTATCAGTATTCCCTTTTTTCTTGATTCTTCCTAGCTTTCTTCATTCTACTATTACTAAAAGGGTTGGGGGAGAAGCTATGTTTTCTTCCTCACCTTTGTTCAAACAGGAAGAACTAAAGAATTGACTCTTGACCAAAAATGATCCCACATACAGATCTTGGAAAGTATCCAAAAGGTGTAGTGAATTGAAGCATACTACACAAATGTATATATAAATAGAGTCCCAAGGGTTTAATGTGTGTACAAAAACCAATTACGCTAAACATTTCCTGAAATTAACTTGCTATTGTCAGGATAAGTAATCACAAGTAAGACATCCAGATTGAGAATGAAAACATTTGTGGGAGTCCTGACTCACATTGTTATATGTCTTCTCACAGAGAAAAGTCTTTGAACAGTTTTGAGTGATTATCAAAAAGGTCCTTTTCCTATAGAGTTCTGAAAGGTACACTATTACCATTTCTTTTCCTTCCAGTTTAGCTTTGTTAGGTTGCTTGAAGAGAGAGACTTGAAACTGTAGTGTAACTGATGTCCTGATGATTGATAGTGGGATGAAATCAACTGATTCATATGATCTCAGAGAAATGTTTAAGTCTAGGTTAGATTATATTCGTTTGCTGTCCTCTGAAAGAATAAAGACAAGCTTACACTTTAAGGCAAAAGTATCATAAGTGTCCTACTGTAAATGAAGAACTTTTCTCTGTCTTCTGATTGACCACATGCATCCAGGTGTACTGTTTCTACCTGTAAAAACCAATGAGAGTGTTTTGTTTCCTGAGGAGGGGGGAAATCCATACGTGTATACACGTACATGTGTGTGTATTTAATAACTTAAACCATACTAGCCTTCAAATAAAATACTACAGTATATTGCGATTGCATTCTACATTAATCAATAGTTGATTCAAGCATGTTGGATTATCTTTAGTTCAGATACTTATTTGATAACTATTAATCACAAGGAACAGAGTGTGTGTGTTTTTAATGCCTGGGACCAGGCATTGTTATTTTATCAGTCATTACAGTTGATTCAACTGTATGGTCAATATTGAGAGCCACCAATTTCAATTGAGGAGAGGACTGGGTAAGAAAGTGACTGGACCACTGGTTTTGCTAGTAGAAATTACTTCCTTTCCTATGGCAGTTGAGAGTAATGCTAATTTGAAGTTTGGGGAGGATGAAGGATTTCCCTGTGACTTCACGTGAAACTGTAGAGGTTGTTGGAAACTAAATCATGTAGGGCTTTCTCTTTGTGAAGTGTCTATTTAAGTCTTCTGCGCAGATTTCCTTGTAGTATATTTTCTTATTTAAGAATTAGTTATGTATTTTGGTTCTTGACTAAATACGTGTTACAAATACCTTCTCTCTGGGATTTTAAGCAGAAACATAATATCAGATTTTCATCTTTAAAACATCACTTCAAGAATGAATGGGAGAAACAAGTTTTCAGTGGTCCTAGTAGAAACTGGTAGTGGTTTAGACTACGGAATGAGTCATGCAGAGAAGTGGACAGGATTAAGAGATATTTGAAATAAACTCAGTAGGACTTGTTAGTGAAGATTAGATAAGTGATGGCTAAGATGAGAGAATGATTTAAGTTTCTGGTTCAAAAGGTAAAAGTTGTATACACTACCACTGTGAACTATTATTTTGTTTAAGATGCTGATACTATGTAGAGAAAATTACAGAGATTATTTGCCTTGAATATAAGAACACTATCTCAGATTTTTAAAAGTGATTTTGAAAGTAAATTTGTTTCTTATTTTTCTGGGTTATCAACTTCAAATAAATAATTACCTCATGAATTATAGAAAAATGTGTTCAAAACTATATTAAATTCTATTTTGAAAGCTATGGCTATAGTAGACAATGAAATATGAATAAACTGTTGAAGAGAAATAGAAACTTAAAATCAACAAATTAAACTTGGATTTTTTTTTTTTTAGGGGTCCCTTCAGTGTTGTACGACGATGCATCAACAGAGAAACTGGGCAACAATTTGCTGTAAAAATTGTTGATGTAGCCAAGTTCACATCAAGTCCAGGGTTAAGTACAGAAGGTAAGAGATGGATTTCAAGTAAGTTATTTGATGTCTGGCTTTATTTCATTTCCAATCCATCTATCAACTTAACCTTCATCTGGGGGTGGGGAAGCAGAGGGTGTAATGCAGTGGGAAGTGGGTGGAGACAGTTTAAATTCCATTCTAGTTTGTCAGATTTCTAGAACATAGTATTTGAAAGATAGCTAGATTTGATTTAACAGTGTTATGAAGTCATCTAGGATTGCTATTGGCCTATGTTTTTTGAATAGAAAGGAAGTAAAATCTGAAAATATATTTTTTAGGATCTAACTTGTAGTCCTATAGTATAGAACATGGGATGGGAAGGGTGAGAAGGGAAATAATGGCACAAATATAATCATTGCAGATTCAAAAGAAACTAAGATGAGTTCCCTTCAAGTCCATAACTTACTACCCTTAGGATTGTGATCTAATAGAACTAAAAGACTAATATATCACATATTGCTTAAGTCACTTATGGTGTATATGTGTAAATGAAAGATCAGTACTGCTAGGACTTGCAGGACTCAAAATTTTGTTTCAAGACATTGATATGGCTAATCATATTTATGTATAAATATTTATAAACAGTACAGAAGCATTTTAAAAGTTTTTTTGTTTGTTTTTTGCTGTTTTAAGCCATAGTTCCATGTAGCCATGATTCACATATGGTCGCACTTCAGATGGCACAATTATTATTTTAACGTTTCTAATTAGCCTGTCTTCTGTCTTCAGACTTTTTCACAGTCCAGTAAAAGACATATCCTTCTTAAGTCCTTTCCTTCTTAATCCCAAGAGCAATGCAGTTAATAGTTTAAATTGGAAAAGCTAAGGCAGAGTAGCCTATTTATATTTTATCCAGTTATCTTACTTTAAGAAGTAGAAGCCCAGATACTGTGAGTTCCAAGTTAATCTATTCCTGCAGATCCTTTTTCAGGATCATTACTTTTAAATACTTTTTTGAAACCTTCTAAATTATTATTATCCATATACTGAATGTAGAAGATTCATAGAAGTTGTTACAAAGTATCAATAACTGATTTTTTTTTAGTGCTTTAATCTTTCAATTCTTAAGGTAAGATTTAGGGATTTTATATCTTACGGTTTCATATTTTGGAATTGGCTATTATTACTTTTGAATACAAATTATTTTATAAATTTAGCAGAATTTAAAATTCACTTCTAATCAGGTTTCACCACTATATTATGTTTGCTAAAACTTTTTAACTGCATTTAAGTTTAATATACTGTATTTGATTTTCTGTACCTCAGTTGTCAACTAATTTTAACAAAAAGCTTTCTGAGTACTTAGGTAATTTTGTATAAACCTAGTTCATTAAACATATAGATGTGTTGAATCTTTATTTCTCTTAAATGTTTTGATACTGTTGATGAATTTAGTAAGATTTCAGTTTAAAATCACAAGTCTAAATCAATTACTCAGTATACCTATATTATGTTGATTTTGTTTATCAGTATACCTAATTCTGAATCTACAGACTAAAGACATTTTTTATGGAGACAGTTAATTACTTTCTCAGTTATCTGAGGTTCTTTCTTTTTTTTTTAAAAAAGAAAGTTATTTATTTATGGCTGAGTTGGGTCTTTGTTGCTGCGCGTGGACTTTCTCTAGTTGTGGCTACTAGAGTGGGGGCTACTCTTCGTTGCGGTGCGTGGACTTCTCATTGTGTTGGCTTCTCTTGTTGTGGAGCATGGGTTCTAGGCATGCGGGCTTCAGTAGTTGTGGCGCACAGGCATAGTTGCTCTGCGGCATGTGGGATCTTGCCGGACCAGGGCTCGAGCCCGTGTCCCCTGCATTGGCAGGAGGATTCTTAACCATTGCACCATCAGAGAAGCCCTTGGCTGAGGTTCTTTATTGACAGATTTCTTCAGCAAGGAATCTCTGTAGCTATAGACCCAGACTGCCAGGCTGGATCTCATTTATTGTCACGTAGCCAGGGAGTCAAACACCAAACTTAAAAAGATGGGGTTGGCGTACCATCCATGTCTCTGAGGTTAAGTCTTCTGAAGTTCACTCATTTGTCGCTTTGGCATTGCTTTGAGTATGTAAATGTCTTCAAGTCCTATTCTGAAGACAAGGCTAGGGCATTTCATTAATCTTATATGGTAGGGTCACAACCTATAGATATTAAATGATATCCAGTTGAATTCTGCATATTACTCATGACTTTATCTGGTTTTGATAAGGGTTTGATGTTATTCAAATGAAAATGTGCAATTGTTCCTTTATATTTATGGCACCAAAATGTAGTTTTCCCATCTTCTTTAGCACAATGATACTCGCAGTGGTTAAGAAACAGAATAAAAATTTCATCTCCACCCTACCACAACTATTTTTCCTTTTGAAGAAAAACTTGCAGTGGAGTTCCTATACACACTATTGCTTATTTTCACACTAGCTTACTTTAACTTGCACACATTTTATTATAAGATATATAATAAATAATGTTATTTTATATTATAAAACCTCTTTGAACAGTATCCTCCATCCCCAACTTCTTTCAACATTTTTCCAAAACATTTGCCCTTCCAGTGCATGTACAAATTGTTAGTGTCCAAAAATGACCTTATTCATGGCTAAGGGTAGGAGATGTCATATTAAGAAGAAACATATTTTGAAGTGAAATTTGAAGTACAATAAAAAGGAATCTATAAGTTTAAACAGAAGTACCTAGAAATATCTATATTTACCATTATATTCTCTTCTTTTTTTAAAATTAATTTATTTGGTTGCGCTGGGTCTTAGTTGCGGCAGGTGGGCTCCTTAGTTGTGGCTTGAGGGCTGCTTAGTTGCAGCTCACTGTCTTCTTGGTTGCAGCACATGGGCTCCTTAGTTGCGGCACACGGGCTCCTTAGTTGTGGCTTGCCGGCTCCTTAGTTGCAGCATGGGGGCTCCTTTGTTGTGGCATGTGAACTCTTAGTTGCAGCATGCATGTGGGATCTAGTTCCCTGACCAGCAGTCGAACCTGGGCCCCCTGCATTGGGAGCACAGAGTTTTAATCACTGTACCACCAGGGAATTCCCTATATTCTCTTCTAATTAAGCCTGTCTCTCAAGCAACAGATAATTTAAAATCTATTTTATTCTTTATGTTTTCTTTTTTATTTTATTTTTGTCATTTTGATTTATTTAATGTTTGTCATTGCGTCAGTATTTTTTCTTGTTAGTACATTTGTATTCAAATACATTATTGAATAAAATAGGTTTCGTGAAGTGTCATCTGGGAAACTAAAGTATGCTGTTTATTTGGATAGGTCATTATGATACAAAGACAAGTAAAAAGAGCACCTATTTTTAAAAAATTTTTATTAGAGTATAGGTGATTTACACTGCTGCATTAGTTTCTGCAAAAAGCAAAGTGTATCAGTTATACCTATACATATTTTAGATTCTTTTCCCATATAGGTCATTACAGAGTATTGAGAAGAGTTCCCTGTGCTATACAGTAGGTCCTTATTAGTTATCTATTTTAAGAGCACCTATTCTTTTTTTTTTTTTTTTTTTTTTTTT